ATTAAACCAAACAACATGAATCAAACATGCACTTTATTTATTTCCACTAAATAACAAAAGTACATCAAAATGATTGAAGCTAAGGGCATACAAAACTGTCTAACAGTGGGTAGGTTTGGAGTTCAAAAATCCAACACATTGCGAATTTTGGGGAGGGTACGGATTGGGAGGTTTAGGGAGGCAGGGAAGAGTAGTGTATTTACAAAACCCTCCCTGGAAATCCTATCGTCATTGTCATCGACTCGTCGTTGTCATCATCATCATCATTATCATCACTATCATCCAAACCTAATCCCAACTATATGGGTTTGGCAACATGACTCCTCTTTCAGCATTCTCCCACTTGTTATCCATCAATCATTTACCCCAAACGAAATAACCTTGAGCTGAGAAACTATATACTTTGGATTTATATAGCCTACAAAGGATAGTGAGAAACAGTGACAGAAAAGTATCAAGGCATGGATCAATTGGAATTCTTTTTCCGGCAAGATGTTTACAAAGGCTAATTGGACTGTAAACTGAGGTTGCTGCTGAGAGTTGATTGTGATATAGAAGAAGAAAAAAAAAAGGAAGGTTGTTAGCTGAGAGGTTGACACCAATGGAGAAGCCTCTATGTTAAAGAGATGTTGTGAGAAAAACCAATGAAAATGGAAGACAAAATGGGAATGAGGATGAGGGTTTTCTAGAGTGGTATATGATGTTGAGGGTATTTACCTTAATACCCATGGTACTGCATAGGTTTTCTCGGGTCCTAAGATTACTAAGACTGTGCAACACTATGGTACTCCATACAAGATATGGGATAAACTGCTGGAGAGATAGGGGCAGAGGAAAAATTTTGCAAGGATATATAGGCTGAATCAAGACATTGCAGTGATGTGTCAAGGAGAACTTATGGTGGCAACATATTTTGCAACCCTTGAAGACCTTTGGGAAGAACTTGACCATCTCTTAATATTGGACTGGGAGAGTACCAAGGACAAAGAAAACCTTGACAAACAAGTTGAAGAAGGGATTCTCTTCAAGTTCCTTGCAGGTCTGAATTCTTCCTATGAGAGCATTCACTCTCAGATCTTGGGAAGGAATGAACTACCTGACCTTCAGCATGTCTTCTATCTAATTAGGAGTGTAGAGTTGAGAAGAAAAGAGATGGGAAGTGAGGTTCAGTTTCATCCAACTGAACAATCAGCCCTTGTTTCATCTCCAGGTAAAGGGAACAAGGGTGGAGACAATTACCTTTTGAAGTGTACTTGTTGTGGAGGAGAGAAACATACAAAAGATACTTGCTAGATTCTGTATCTCCACCTCAAATCAGAAGCTCTAAGGAAGGATAAGAAGCCATACAAAGGTCCTAATGGTGCTGGCCATGTTGCAAGTCCAAATGTATTGTGGTAAGAAAAGTACTACTTCAAGTGCTTCCTCCCAGTCTGGACAGACTTATACTACTAATTCCAGTCTCCCACCCAAATGTGGCTGATTGCATGCTGACTCCATTTTCAATTCTTTGTCCTAATCAGGTTGAGTTTTCTCTACCACCCAAGGTGTTTGGGTGTGTGTATTTTATCCATGTCACAGACCTCAAGAGAACCAAATTGGACTCCAAGGCTATACATGGTGTTTTTCTTGGCTATTCTCCTACTCAAAAGGGCTACAAGTGTCTTGATCTTCACATTGGAAGGAAGATTGTTACCAAAGATGTTACATTTTTTGAATCCCAGTAATTCTTTTGAGCCTCCCTGGAATTCTCTTCAGGGGGAGACTAGTAGGGTGGAAGAGGTTTCCTTCGAGTAAATCCTTTCTTGTCTCGGCCTCAACCCTGATTCCTCACCTCCATCCCCTCCACCTTCTTCCTCTGATACGTCTTGCCATGGAAAGACTTCTACGACTGCTGGCCCTGTCAACACCCAACACACTACTTATGATGGCATGGAAATGAGTGTGTATAAAAGAAAGAGGAAATGGTTTCTTATCATCTTTATGATGGAGATCCTCCAGCTGAATTCTACGATAAATTGGGTGGCTCTCAACTTTGGTCAAGGTACTATTTCTAAACTTGATTTGGATTTACCCATTGCCTTCTATAAGAAGACTCACTCATGTACTTCGCACCCAATATCAAAGTTTGTTCCATATTCTCATCTTTCCCCTACTTATTACTCCTTTGTGTCTACTTTATCTTCTATTACTACTCCTTCTAGGTATTCAGAAGCTATTCTTGATTCCAAATGGAGAGAAGCAATGGATGAAGAAATGAAAGCTATTTTGAAGGCTGGCACATGGGAGTTAGTAGAGCTGCCACATGGGAAGAAAACTGTAGGTTGCAAGTGGGTTTTTACAGTAAAATGCAAGGCAGATGGGTCAGTGGAGCGATACAAGTCAAGATAGTTGCTAAGTGATTCACTCAAAGTGAGGGCATTGATTACAAGGAAACATTTGCTCCTGTTGCAAAGTTGAATTCAGGAAAGAACCATTTCTGGAGATCCATGTATTCCTTATTTACCTACTACAAAGCAACTTGCAGATATGTTTACAAAAGGATTGCCCAAATCAAAATTTCATGAATCATTGGACAAGTTAAACATGATGAATATCTATGCTCAACTTGAGGGGGGAGTATTGTTAGCCTTAATGTTTTATGGGCTGGGCTATTTCTTACTTAACTTATTCCATTTTGGGCCCACTGGCCAAAGTTATTTGTCTCTTAGTGATTGTTCATGTTCAGCCCACCTAATGAAGGGCAATCTTGTACTTTCCCCTGTTTTAGATCTCTTTTAAATGTTATGTTGGGCTGGACAGAGAAAGGCTAAAGTTTTATATTGATAAAAATCTTTTAATAGAGAAAAAGTATCAGGAAGGGAAAAAAGGTTGACCCTTTTTTCTATTGAATGTATAAAAAAGAAGAGTATTTATCCTTCTCTTCTGATTTTCTATTTTTCTATTTTAAACACTTTCATCATTTATGTTTTAATGCTAAAACGCTTTAACAAAGCATAGGTAATATGCAGTATGATAGGATACATTATCAGATATAGTAATAGGAAGTAGCTATAGTAATAATACCAGAATAAGGCACCATTCTTGTGTTTCTATCACTTAGTTGGGTGCCTAGTTGCATAGATGGGCACTTTTTTTTTTGTTGTAAAAACCATGGCATTTGGGATTCATATAAAGCATGCCTTATGAGTAGGGTTGTTTGTGGGTTGGGTTTAGTGGTAAACTGCCATTCCTTATCTGGTTAAGGTTGGCTCAGCTATTCGGGTTTTGGTTGAGATAAACCTGTACCAAACCCGACCCTTTGACATTGCAGCATTGAGAGATTTATTTAGATAGCTTTAAATGTGTATATGTAGGATAGGCCAGGTCAGGTTGGGGTTGGAGTTACTTTGAGCTATGTTGAGGTTGAGTTAAACCTGTACCGAACCTGACCTGTTGACATCCCTACTTATAAGTGGGACATAATCCATTACTAACTTCAGAACTATTGAATGGAAATATTTGAGATTAGACATTGTGTTTTGCATTTTCTTTCAACTCTCGACTTATGGATTTATTGAACTGCTTCTTTTGAAGGCTGCTAAGGCATCAATCATTTCCGGAGGACATGAATTAAGTAGATTCAGTGACACACCAGGGGATGCTTCTTTGGATGATTTATTTCATCCGCTTGACAGAAACCAAGAGGACCGGGCAGCTGAAGCTTCAACATCCTCCTCATCACAGATAAATCAAGTTAGTGTTATACATGATGCTGGAAAGAATGACCTGGCAACAAAGCTCAAGGCTCGAATGGCTCAAAAGCGGACAGAAAATGAAATGGGACAGACTGGGGGAGACTTGTTGCGCCTCATTATTGGCATTGACACTTCGGTATGTTTTCATTATTTTTTTGGTGTACTGTGTACATGGTGTTTTGTATTAATTTTTCATCCTAACATTATGGTGCTTTTTTCCGAGCAGGTTTTTGATGACAAACTGGCTGGAGAAAACCTTTTTCCTCTACAGGTGCTCCAGATTGTCTTATCATATACTTGTTCAGCTTTTCTGTAGCAATTATGTACTTAGATAAAGTATTGGCTATCTCTTTTTTTGTGATAGAATGTGTACCATGCATTATATTACTTCTGTACTCCTAACATGCATGGGCACACTTGGCATTCTTTCACAAAATTAATCTTGGTTAATTATAAGTGAGTTATCTCAGTACTTTTTCAATTCGGAAAAGAAGAATGAAAAAAATTGCATATTGCACCTTTAACCAAAAAGTAAAAAGGAAAACAGTGGTGAGTAACTGAATATACTGGGGACCCTTGTTGCAAGATGTTTGTTTTTGATATTAAAAAAATTGAAGGAAAGATGAATGCAACTTCAAGTGATAAGGCTTCAAGAGAAAATCTCAAACCAATAAAAAAGGTCACCAGGCACAGGAAAATCTCAAGTCCAGACTCAACTATAGCAACCAGAAATCCACAAGGAAAATCTCAAACCAAAAAAAAAAAAAAAATAGAAAGGCCCCCAGGCACAGCCTGCCACCACCTATCTCAGGAAAAAAATGAAGAATTCCCTCAATCCTATCACAATCCTTGTTTTGTAAACAATACAATAAAAGACTTAAGCAAGCATTTTCTTTTACTATTACTGAAGGCCTTCTTCTACCTGTTGCATGAACTCATTCAAAGGTTTGAATTTGCATTCTTAAGACTTTTCATTTCCTCTTGACCTTCTAATTCCATAGACTCTTCTGGCATGTTCCTCCCCACCTATTAAAAACAACCCCAATTTCGTCCTTACCTCTGTGTCTTTATCAACCAAGATCTACTTTCTTTTCTACCTTAAATATTGATCCAATACTACTGCCACTTCTCCTGCCTTGCTGTCTGCCTCCACCATCTTATTATCATCTTCCTCAGACTCTCAGTCTGAAGTATCTGTTGAATCATCCATTGACCAAATTTTATAACTGGCTGCTGAAAACAACTTGTTACTAATGATACCACAGAATTAATCTCTAATTTATTAAGGCGGAATGCCGGAATCTTGGTCCCTTCTCTCACTGCCTACATGTCTTGACTCATTTGCCATCATCAAATTATTTCCCCAATTGAGACCTTCCAAGATGTACAAGAAATTGATGTCAAGGCATCTCCTAGGTGGCTGGGTGCCCTTGATTTGGCACAGTGCTACAATATCAATACCTATTAATATGCGTGCTAATAGATTAATATACCATGTATAAAGCCCATTAGCAAATGCTAGTCTCAGCTCACTATCTTTGGCCTTGGGAGGGGTGGACTGGGCATACATGTGTAGGATAAAGATGTTTTTTTCCTTCTTTATTCTATTCTCTAGCTCTTATTGTTAAATAAAACAGTGGCTCCACCTGTTATTTCTGATACTCTTATTTTGGTCCATGGCTGTCCTTTCTTTGGCACTATTTCTTGATTATGGTGGAAATGAAATTGGATTGGCTCCCATCCTGGAAGTTTCGAGATCCCACTGTTAGGGCTGAATTTATTAATGGAGCTGAATTTTAATTCCAGAGAGATTGGAGCATTGCCTCCAAATCCTTGTTTTGGAATATTCCATAATTCCTGAGATAGTCACTTAAGTGTTGTTGGGTTGGATGAGATAGATCAGGGTGAAGTTGAAATTGGAGACATTCAGGGGATCAATTTCTTGTATCTGGACTCCACTGCTTGGGTCCATTTTCCAATTGGAACAGAATTCAGGATAATACAGACTTTAGTGTTTGAATCATATATGTTTGTTGACTTAGAGGTTACCCCCTCCCCTCAGCCACACACACACACACTGTTAGACACACATTGGGGGACCAGGTATTCAAGGCAGGGATTAGAATTCAATTCCAAATGCACTCCCAAGATTTAAACAGAGTAAGGGAATTAATTTGATATAGATCAACTGACCTTGAATGAATATTATATGTTTTCCCATTTGTAGGCTGTAGAATTTAGCAGATTAGTTGGGTCACTAAGGCCAGAAGAGTCGGAAGATGTGATTGTTTCTACATGTCAGAAGCTTAATGCTTTCTTTCAAGAGCGTCCAGACCAGAAAATTGTCTTTGTTTCTCAACATGGTTTTCTCCCCTTAATGGAATTGCTTGAAGTTCCTAAAACTCGTGTAAGTTTGCTTTATTGGTGGTTTCATCTTCTGATTTGATGTCTTCCTTTCCATTAGCATCTCAACAAGTTCAATATGGTGGCTTTCCACATTTTGTTTTAACTTTTTCCATATGATTCAACAAATGCAGGTTATATGTTCTGTTCTTCAAATTATAAACCAGATAATCAAAGATAATACTGGTTTCCAAGAAAATGCATGTCTTGTTGGCTTGGTAAGTACCATATTACCTCTTAGGTGTACATTTGAGTCAGGGAACTTTCTTTTGTTAATTCCATTGAGATTTGTGGCCCTCTAATGCTGTTTTTCAAAAAAAATTAGAATGTAAAATTGTCCCAACTAGTTGGCCCTTGCCATCCAATTTATATATTTTTTCAGTTGTTATTCACTGGTAGGTTTATCGATTTAATTGATTATTAGATAGCTATTCTTATTGTCACATATGGAATTGTGGGCCTGAGTCTAAAAATGCAGTGGTTAAATCAAGAGGATGAGTGTGTGAGAATACTTTGAACGTTATATAGGGTTTTTTTTGGCTGTTGTTATTGGGTTGTCGTTTATTCTTTTATTAATATTGATTGTCTTGCAAATTAAATCAGATTCCTGTTATCATGAGCTTTGCGGTACCTGATCGACCCCGAGAAGTTCGTATGCAGGCTGCCTATTTCTTGCAGCAGCTTTGTCAATCAAGGTGTAGATTCGTTATATACATTCTATTGTTATATAGTATTTTTAATACATTGTTGATTAGTTTGAATTGATCATGTTAGCTTCTGTTATCCAGCTCCTTGACATTGCAAATGTTCATTGCTTGCCGTGGAATACCTGTTTTGGTGGGCTTTCTTGAGGCTGACTATGCAAAATACAGGTTTGTACTTCATCCATTTTATGCATGGATTAGATTTTCAATTTTTAGGATAGGATGTTCTTAAGATTGAATGTCATAGGTACCTAATGGTATGGTCTTAGAGCTTTTCTTTTTTTCTTTTTCTTTTTTTTGTTTTTGATTGGGGTGTGTACAGAGCAACAAATTAGTCTACTCAGGTCTTATTGGCTCAGGGAATTCTATTAGAGTACAGATTTGCTTTTAATGTTTCAAAGATGATGTAGTGATGCTGGGTGGTTAATCAAGTAATATTATTCAATGGATCAGAGATAGAACTGGTGAACCTTGGTTACCAATTCAGCATCTGGTGTGAATATCATGTTCTGGTGGCCTCCAAGTGGTAGGGATCAGTCCAGGCATTATAAGACCTATTCTCATAAGAAGGACAACAAACAGGTTCTGATTTCGCATGGCAAGACTCCTGGGACTTGGACTGATCTCGTCAGGGGTATTTTCATCATTATGACCAGTCCCATGTGGGCCTGGGCTATATAGCATTTTGTTCCTCTAGCCTAGTAGTGCTTCTCTTTCAATTTTTTAGTGGGTAGAAAGTTATTGTGTTTCTTGATGCACAATAGAAGGAGTGACATTTTTTTGTAATTATGGTGAACAGTATTCCGAGCCATACAAGTCACTTTATAGATAGATGTATTCTCTTCCTTTCAAGCTAATGAATGAATGATGATTTCTTGAGAGCTCTTTTGCAAGCCTTTGTATGTAGCGATTCCTACAAACCCTAGAGTGGTTCTAGGACCCTTGGAGTCATTCTTTGGGATTTCTTTCTCTACCCTTTCTCTTCTCTTCTCTTCTCTCTCTCTCTCTATTCCTCTCTTTCTGTCTTGTGATAGGTTATTGAAGTTCTACTGCATCAGTTTTGGTATCAGAACATTAGGTTTCAAATGGCTCATTACCATGGTAAAAACCCAGAATCCAAAGTTTAAATATCAGTGTGGGTGAAAATGTTGATCATCCTAAGAAAAGCGCCAGAAATGTCAGAAATATCGTACATAAATGTTGTAAAAATTATGGGCATGGTGGAAACATTGTAAAGTATGCAAATTATAGAATGCTATTTTATGAAATGATTAAAGAAGCATAAGCACACTTTTTAAAACTATTATTTTGTTCCAAATCATTAAACAAAGCTAAGAAACTAAGGTTATAGACAGAAGAATACATTTTCAAATTGCCCTGTAAACATTAAGATACAGAGTTAATGATAGAATGAGTTAAAGCAAAATTTAAACTCATAGAAAATGTAAATGGTTGTAATAGATCAACCAAATAATCTATTACACAAATAAAAACTAATATTTAACTTCCTGTTCGAAATGAATATTTGAGTTAGCTCAAAGTGGTAATCATGTAAGTTAGGCGGGAAATAACATTGTTATTCCACAAGTCCTCTTTCTCTACTCTCTCTCTCTCTATTCCGCTCTCTTCTGTTATGTGATGGTTTATCCTACTGCATTACCTCGATTGGGCAACTGATACGTTGGCCAAGGGTGAGGAAGGGTTTAGGGCTAATCCAGGTCCAACTATGAGACTTGGGCCCTAGCCTGAGGCCTGATGCACCCTGAGGTAAAGCCTGGTATGGGCACCCCAAGTCAGTTGTAGCTAAACCTTGACATAACTCAAGCTAGGCTTTGGCTTGGTTCAGTAGAGGATCTTTTTTTTTGCACTTGGACATTTTACTTGGGCTGTATGGTCCAATTTAGAAAAGAAAATAGGAGAAAATATAGAAATTACATTAGTACCTAATGGCTTACAGTGTATGCATGCATAGCCTTGTCTAAATAACAAATGCATGCAAACTTGTGTGATTATGTAAGATATGTGTGTACACTTGTAGTATAAATGAGCACTGTAAATATATATTTGTACTTTACCCAAAGGCTTGGGCAGGTTTGGGCCACTTGTGACTTCAACCCTATACCAACCTGAGGTGGAGTCAGGCCTAGGTCCAGAGCAGAGCCTGAAAATCTAAGACCACCCCATGTAAAAGCCCTGTACATGCTGGGTGGGAATTTGGTTAAGTGAACCCAAGTTGCATTCTTATGTGGAGGCTGAAGATCATAATTTTCTAAGCAGGAACCATTGTGTTATTGTATCTGTGATGCCTTCATTTACATGTACAACAAAAGTAGGCTGTGTGTGTGGAGGTTGTAATGCATTTTATTTTTCATCGGCATCAGTCAGAGGATTTTATACCTGCTGAGCTTCTTCTTTTTTCTTCCTTCTTTTTCTTTATTTTTCCTCTTTTTTTTTCAGTATATTACCCCAAATGTATTGATTAATTTCTTCTACCTCTCCAGAGAAATGGTTCATCTAGCCATTGATGGCATGTGGCAGGTCTTTATGCTTCAGCGTTCAACACCTAGAAATGATTTCTGTCGCATAGCTGCAAAGAATGGTATACTTATAAGGCTCATTAACACCCTTCACAGTTTGAATGAAGCAACTCGATTGGCAGGTGGGTATGTTCAAGGGGATGGTTTAGCTCCAAGACCACGATCTGGTCCTCTAGATTCTAGCTTTCCTGTTTCAACACAAGGTGAAATACCCCTTTCTAGTCCTGATCAACTTGATGTGCTTAAGGTTAGACATGGGGTTATTGACCATCCTTTGTCAACTGGAACAATGGAACCATCGCGTGCTTCAGCTTCATACTCCCAAAGATCAGATGCCAACCAAGACTCCAGGTACTTTCTTGGTGATAGTGATAAAGCTCAGTCAAACCACACTGTAATGGAAGCTTCAGTTGCTTCCAAGTTTCCGGAGCCAACAGTTATAGAAAATGATACTTCTCGAGCAGAAGTTGACCTTAGACAACGAGTCACTAACTTGGACAATAGGATTTCTACTGACAAGCCTTTAAAACAAACGGAGAATGCATCTAATGGTTTCCCAACCACATTAGCTTCTCAGCAAGAGCAAATTCGACCACTTCTTAGTTTGTTGGACAAGGAACCTCCATCCAGACATTTCTCTGGTCAGCTTGAGTATGTACGCCAGCTCTCTGGATTGGAGAGACATGAAAGCATACTGCCATTGTTACATTCATCCGCAGAAAGGAAAACAAATGGTGAATTAGATTTTCTGATGGCAGAATTTGCAGGTAACTAACTCTGATTATTTGCAGGTAAAAAAAGACTTTCTTTTTTTTTTTCAGCTCCCGATTGCTTAAATTGCAACTCTAATTTATTCTTTCTGTTGTTATTGACTATTAAGTTATGGGAGGTGCCATAATTAACTTATTAGTGCTTGCACAAGGAGTGACTGTAACACTTGTATATATTTATTTCTTAGTATTACTTATCAGTAAAATTTTCCTTCTGTTTACAGAGGTTTCTGGTCGTGGAAGAGAAAATGGAAATCTTGACTCCGCTCCAAGATTATCACACAAAACAGTAACCAAGAAGTTAGGACCACCAATGTCTAATGAAGGAGCTGCCTCAACATCTGGCATTGCATCTCAGACTGCATCAGGTGTACTCTCTGGCTCAGGTGTTCTAAATGCTAGACCAGGAAGTGCAACATCTTCTGGATTACTTTCACACATGGTGTCAACATTGAATGCTGATGTGGCTAGGGAGTACCTTGAGAAGGTTGCTGACCTACTGCTTGAGTTTGCCCAAGCAGACACAACAGTTAAATCTTACATGTGTAGCCAGAGCTTGCTTAGCCGTCTTTTCCAGATGTTCAATAAGATAGAACCTCCTATACTTCTGAAGGTTTGAGAAAAGAAACATGCTGATGCTGTACCACTGAGGTTTCTCTCTTTATAATTTTGATTTCAAATCTATGACATTGTTATCTTTTCTCTTATTCTATGTTATAGTTATTGAAGTGTATCAACCATTTGTCAACCGATCCAAACTGTTTAGAGAATCTTCAGCGTGCTGATGCAATCAAACATTTGATTCCAAATCTTGATCTCCAAGAAGGACCTCTCATACATCAGATACATAGTGAAGTGAGTCTTTTCTTTCTTTTTTTTTTTCTTTTTTTGCTTTGCACTTAATATGTTCAAATTGGATGACAATATGCCAGATATAGCTTTCTGTGTCTTAATTGAAAATTAAATTTTTGAAATGCCTTCTTTAAAAACTTTAGAATATCTATGCTGTTCAGCTGCTTCATTGTACTTGGCATTGGCTACTTCTAGGTGTTTCTTTACTTGTGTATCACATAGTGGTTGTTTGGCTGCATGAAAGATGCACTTGATCGCATTAAAAGACTTTCTTTCTTATTCAGCAAAATCCCAATGAGCATCACTTCCCACATCTTCCTCATCATCAAGAATAGGTTCTTAACTTTGAGGTTGAAAATTCTAGTCATTATAAACCTGTTCAATCATGTTTATCCTTCTAGTATGTGGTTGTGGAAGTGTTTTGAAAGAGCAAGGTGAGGTATGAACTTATTGAAGCAAGGCACATTTTTTTTTAATCAAAAACTTGAATAATATAATTAAAAAAGTTAAATACCTAAACTTACTAGAACCAGTCTGGATAGAAGAGGGCTGCAGCTTTTGGATTTATCTGGTGGTCTCTGTTGGGTAATTTCATGATCAGTCAAAGACCTGCTGTGCTGATATTTGAGAAAAAAGGAAAGCTGGTTTGGAGACCTGTCCCTGCAGCTATTTTATGGTCAATTGGACTGAAAGAAACAATAGAATTTTCTGTAACAAGTCAAAAAGTCCAGATGATCTGGTGCAGTGTGCAGTCAGTAAATTGGTATATTAGTTTTCTGTAAAATCTGAGTTTAAGCACCTGAATGTCCCTGAGGTGTTGAGGTCCCAGTCTATTTGGAGTCTGTAATCTGAGTTGTTTCCTTGGCTAGTCTTAGTATGGCTAGGAAGCTGTTGTATCATTTGCTCCTCCTTTTAATAAAATTTTACCTTACCTTTCAAAAAAAACATCAAGCCATTATTGCAATTCAGTCACAAAGACAATTAGACATAGTTTACACTTGAAATTCAAACAATCAAGATATTAAAGTCTAAGGTCACACTTGAAATTCAAAGAAACAAGATATTAAAGCCATTGTATGTAGATTTTGTTTGATTTTCAAGTCAAACTTGATTATTTCATCTTAGTCTTCTATTGTATAAGTGGTAAATTCTATTGTTAAGTACATAATGGTAGATGTAGATTAAAAATAGGGTCAAGTCATTTTCCTATATATATTTTGCCTTTTATTATATTTATATTTAATTTTTTGACAAGTTTACAATACAATTAAGATTTTCAAAGCATCTTCATCTCCACTAGGAAGTTCAACTTCATTTTTATTGTAGTCATCAACAGTACCTCCTTCCATTTCTTCCAAGGTTTAAAATGTCGATGTCATTAGAAATGTCGGTCATCCAAATATAAGAAACGTGTCGGAAATGTCAGAAATATCGTATGAAAATATTGTAAAAATTATAGACATGGTGGAAACATTGTAAAATATGCAAAATATAGAATGGTATTTTATGAAATAACAAAAGAAGCGTAGGCACACCTTTTTAAATTATTATCTTGTTCCAAATTATTAAACAAAACTAAGAAACTAAGGTTATAGACAAAAGAATATGTTCTGAAGTTGCCCTGTAAACCTTAAGCTTTAGAACTTCATGATAGAATTAGTTAAAGCAAAATTTAAACTCAGAGAAAATGTAAATGGTTGTAATAGATCAACCAAATAATCTACTACAGAAACAAAAACTATTATTTAACTTAATGTTTTAAATGAATATTGAGCTAGCTCAAAGTTGTAATCATGTAAGTTAGGTGGACAATAACTTGTTACTTCACATATCTATAATATTGTCACCAACTTATGTTATAATACTATCTCTTCTACTCCACATAGTACTGGTAGTTTTCACTAGGGAATATGTCAATTCTAGTAAAATTCCATAATATGTCGTGGATGCCATCTCTTGTACTCCATGTAGGTCTGGTAGTGTTCATTGGGGAAATGTCGATTCCAGTAAAATTTTGTGTTGCTACCCATGGAAATGGAAATATGTCGTGGAAATATTAGGGAAATCAGGGACATTTTAAACAATGCTCCAGATTGGGGTCTCTAACTCTACCATTGATATACCCCACTTTTCCGCTTGCAGTTATGTAGAGCTTGATTCCCTTTGACCATTCTAGGTAATTGAGACCATCAAAGGGAATCATAGCCATGGGAAAGCTCATGTCAAAACCTCCACTCAATCCACTCTGACTAGAATCCTCACAAGACATAGAACTTGATTTCAGTTCAGTCACAATTCAGTCAAAGAACTAGTTCTCAGTTAAGTTCAGAATCATAGTTCAGTCAAAAAAAAAGGTTAAAGCCTTAGTTCAGCCACAGTTCTAGGCACAAAAAATCTTGTTCTCACACAGAATAATCAAATCTGATCACACACCATCACTTGTTCTCAGATTACAACCCTACTGAACCAGTTCAGATGTGCAAAACATATCAAAAATCAGGTCTGACCAGTCCCTCCGAACAATAATTCATCAATTTTCCACACAACCATTGAAGTTTTAATAGGAACTAAGGAAGAAAAAACTGCTGTCACAGCAGTTACAGAACCGCAGACCTGAACAGCCCACCTGTCAGGGCAGATAACTGATTCATAGAGTTCTCTATCTGATGCATGGTTTGGACTGGACACCTCATCACTTCCCTATATGTAGTTATATGGTTTGCATACAGCTTCATTGAGATTTGATAGTCTCCCTATCGCTTAGAGTAGGTAGTTGAATGTTGCGGTTGTAATTTATTTTCTATCTTGTTATTGAGCAAATGTATGATGGTTTTAGAACAAATTTTTCTATCATAATTTGTGTACATTCATATTTTTTTTTTCTTCCACGACTCAATTTTGGATATTTTCTGACAATTTCCCATCATTGAAGGTCCTCAATGCGCTTTTCAATCTCTGCAAAATAAACAAGAGGCGGCAGGAGCAGGCTGCTGAAAATGGAATTATTCCACACTTGATGCGTTTCATCATGTCAGATTCACCCTTGAAACAGTATGCATTGCCTCTGCTGTGTGATATGGCGCATGCATCTCGTAATTCAAGGGAGCAGTTAAGGGCCCATGGTGGGCTGGATGTGTACTTGAGTCTGCTGGATGATGAACTCTGGTCAGTGACCGCATTGGATTCTCTTGCAGTCTGTTTGGCACATGACAATGATAACAAAAAAGTAGAACAAGCTTTACTCAAAAAGGAAGCTGTTCAGAAATTGGTGAAGTTCTTCCAGAGATGTCCAGAGCAACATTTTGTGAATATACTGGAGCCCTTTTTGAAAATTATCACGTATGTGTCTTGCCATCCACATATCTTTTTCTTTCCCATCCATGTGTAAGAATTTGTTTACCATTTTCTACTTTCAAGCATTATCTATATATAGTGTGTGGGGTGGGGGCTCATTGGAATGACCACGTCTTCACTCCCTAAATCTACATAAATACCATATTTCACCTCATATTTGAGTTTTTTTTTTTTTTTGGCTCTAAAGCATATCTCCTTGTCAAAGATTCCTTGGTTTTGTGGCCTTCAATACTAAAGGGCACAACTACAAATCTTCTTCCAAGATAGATTTTATATGCATAAATGTATTGCATATGTTGTATTAATTATAGTAAAGGTGATTTACCAACAGTATTACATGGCATGTGCACATGGTAATTGGAATCACACAATGCATATGGAGTCTGAGTGATCTAAAACACAAGTTCAATAAACCTTACCCCAACTAATGGGATTCATTACATGCATTTTAGTGTCATATCCATTGTTATATTATAGGCCCTCAAATTATTTTTTATTACTATAGTCCGTTTTGGTTTTGGCCTGCATTGCTAAACCTTTCAACTTGTAATCAATGTTTTAAAAGGTGTGGGAGGCGTACAACCTGAGGTGCCCCCAAAACACCCTGAGGCGCATGATAGAGGAGTTGATGCTCTCAGCTTTGCCGATAGAGGGTATGTAAGTAGCCCCTCTAGGGGTTTGCCCAACTCCTTTCCTCCCCTCCTCCACTAGGTTCAGTTCGCCATTCTCCTCAGACCTTCAGCGATGGGGGGAGGTGAATGCCAAGGTTTTTCAAACGGATGTACAGGAACAAGGTTGTGGTTTTGATTTTATTGGGGCTTCTTCTCATGGGGAATTAGTTTTGTCAACAATATTGTTGCCAAACAAGGTAAGATCACTTCCCCCCCTAGTGCTGCCAGGGGTCCTAAAGTTTTAGAGAGTGACATCTTCTCTTCGGTGGTGGGGGAGGTAAGTAACTATGTCTGACCTAAGTGGAGGGATGGCAATCGTGTTGGGCTTGGCTACAGCTCCAATTCCTTTGGAATCTAGGAGCTTGGCAGTAGGGAATTTGGTGAGTGGAGTTGGTGATTCCCTAAAAGAGGTAGGAGGTGGAATGGAAATGGGGTATGGTAGTGTTTCATCTTGTTTTTTGGATGTTATGGGGGTTGTGCTAGAAGATGTGATATCAGGAGTGTTTTTTTTTTTTTTTTTTGAAATATTTGTTGGAAGATTGGGTTATGATTTGGGAAGAAGGATGAAGGGTGGCAAGGCTGACGAATCGAAAGAGGGTAAGGAGAAATTTAAAACTTTGGTTTGTCCAAAAAAGATGAAGACCTCAAAAAATGGCCAGCTGGTTCATGTTATGAAGATCTCTTGGTTAAAAGGAGTTTGTGGTGTTGGTCCTTCCAACAAATTAGGGTTTATTTTGGAAAAGTGAAAAAGAGTTTAAGTGGTTTCAAGCATGGTCAAGTCTAGCAATGACAGTTATTAAGTAGTTTTTTTTTCTCTTTCTGATAAAGAGGGGTTGGGAAAGAAGTATCCAATTAAGGGTTCAAAAGATTTCTTAAGTAGGGCAATGGGTAGTAGAAAATATAAAACAAAGCCATTAGAAGAATCAAATAGAAGAGGCAAGGAGGTCTTGACTAAACCCTTCAAAGATAAGGAGGTCATTGTGGATGAAACTCATGTTGTGCACAAGGAGTTAGTCAACATGGAGGTGGAGGTAAGCAAATTGTTAGAGATCTCTTTTGTTGGATGTGATAGAAGGAATGGATAAAAGGTCTGGTCGAATGGGGTTCAAAACCCTAGTTTAAATGTCTCACAATGGTGGGATTGAATTCAGCTAGTAGGAGAGAACTTACATGGTTTGATCCCTTCTAATTCCTCTCTCTTTATTACTTGGGGGGGAGGGGGGGGGGTTGCAAGAGCCCTCTCTTAATCTATTTACAACTCCTAACTCATTTAAAATAATATTAGAGAGAGTCCAGCTTTCTTAAACCAGCTAGTAAATCAGAATCCATCTAACTAGTCATACTAGTCAAATCACATAGTTTTACTAGGACTCTTATGTAAGACTCTTAATTATCCATTAGAACTCTATTAATTAGGAGATTACAACTTTTATGGTGTGGGTCCCACAACTTAATGGGAGAGCCAAAAATGTCAAATGCTTTATACAATCCAGTGGGTTTGGCCAATTAAGTTTTAATCACCCATTTCAGGCTAATTCGACCATAATTTTTATGGGCTTAAGTGATCAAGCCCATTAAGTGTCTAAACACTTAAAACTACTTGGGCCTTAGGGATACTTGGGACCTTACCATCCCCAAGGCCCAAGTCCATTGGTTCAACCCATTATGTGATAATCAAGTCAATACATTCCAATTAATAACTTGCAATCAATCTCTTTGCTATAAACACTTGACACCACATTAAAGGAAGGACTTTTTCCCTTTCTTCATTACATGGTGTCCAACTTCCAAAACCATTGGATTGTTTATTGAAGATTCACATAATCCTTTTGTCGACATATTCAAGATTCCAAGGAGGAAGTTTGTACAAAGTATTCTCTATGACTTAATGTACTAGCAGATCCTATTACATTGATCATAAGTCGACATATCATTTTGGAATGTCCCAACATACCTAGATATTTGACCCCAAAAAGATTTCATTGGTTGGTATATCAAAGATAAATAAGTCTGATACTCAATCTAATACCAACCAACTGAATGGTGACTCAGTTGGTACATACACTGGGTACTCCCAGAAGATATGCAGTTTTGAGCCCCGCTATCGATTCCCATCACACCTTTGAGAGAAGTTATTGTTGTTGAAAAGGATTGTACTGTGCCAAGAAAAAAAAATGAAACATGGCCCCTATGGGGTCACCCGACGATGATTCAATACCAAAAAAAATTGTAAGTGTGGTGGTTAGGCTACGTACAGGGGTCTCCTTGAAGGACAAAGGAAAACCGAGTGTAGTAGATAGTCTAAAGGCTTAGGGCAAATGGGATGATAGAATGATGATCTCGTTATGAGTTGGACCCCCATTTATAGGGAGAGATCTCGAGGTCCCGAAAGGAAGGAGCCAAAAGCGTATGATTCCCATTAGGAAAGGGAATCTTGGATTCGCTGTCAGTTATTAGGGAGCACTGCCAGGGTTTCGTCACGTGTTTTATGGGATATTTCAAGGATGAACTTTCCTTTCGTCTGAGGATTCTCATAATCCACTTGTGCTACTTCCTTTTGTGACCCTTCTAAACCGATGTGGCACGGGTGACATCATTACCTAGCTTGTGTGTCTTTATTAGGCCCATGGGGTGTCTCGTCATGCACGTGTTTCTACTACTTGTTTATGACCTACGGTAAGCCCACATTCGTCGCGGTTTCCCGATCGCTTTAAACTCATCGCAAGCCCGGGCAAATCCAAAACTCATCGCAAGTTCAAGTGGGGCCAAAGTTCATTGCAGGTGTGCGATGAGCTGTGGACTCGTCGCAGATGTGTAGTATTGGTTTAACACCCTCTGTATTCAGATGGTCTGAGTGACCACTATATACTTGCATTAGCCCCTTGCTTATCGGTAAGTGGGAGCTTATTGATAATTATTTCCGTTATTGGGTTTGCCTTGAATTTTTGTAATGGGGTGATGGGGATGAGGATTGTAGGTGTTGTGGTACCCAGATTCTTTCGCATTAGGTCTGGTGGTCGTTCTTGCTCTTGATGGCAAGTTCTATGGACTTTGTGTGTGGGAAATTTTAATTTGGGTGGGTTATTAGCCCCCCTACTTATCAATAAGCATAATGGCATCCGACTTAGGGATGTTATCTAGATGAGAATCGGGTGCGTTTGTTTTGGAGTAACTTTTTGTTTTCATTGTAATCCAGCCCCCCTATCTTTTGACAAGTTGCTTTCTGTGATTCAACCCCCTTGTCTTTATACAAGTTGCTTTTTATTGAGTGGCATACGTGTGTCGAATTGGTTGGCGAAGGTTTGAGCCCCATTGCGAATCAACAGAAATTGTCTTATAGAAAGACATAACCAGTCCCCTATTGGTTAAAGGGAGTCTATCGTTTTAGGAATATAGCCCCCCAATTTCATGATAGGGCAATGCTTTGCCGAAGACAACTGAAGCAGTATTTGATTTTTAGCCCCCTGTCTTTGGTTCAGCCGAAGATAGATGAACCAGATACTTAGAATCTTTGGTTCTTCCTGAAAGAATGGTAGGATCCATCGTATGGACGCCAAAAAGGTTGCGGAATGGGTGGGCGAATTTCAAAAATTTCCTACCTTTCTTCCAACTGGGAATTGCATTCCCTTATTTTAAAATCAAATATTCAAGGATCTACTCGAACCAAACCAGACCAGATCTGAACCAAAGATTAGGGGAAGGGTTATACCCTGATACGGAGAATCAAAATCTCCCAACGTCGGTGTTCACGCCCAAGAAAGATCCAAGATCTGCTCCCGCTGAAGATAACACAGCGATGGTGGGGCAGAACCAAGAGTGTACGTCTCACATATCGAACTCTTCACAAGAACTCGTTGGAGGCTTAGAGCACCGAACCAAATCAGCCTTTCAGCAAAGACTGATATCAAGAACAGATTTCTTGATTCTCTCTTCAATGGAGTTCGCGAACTATGCAGCAAGGTGGTGGCGGCTGGAGGAGATTCCTAGGCTGAAAGTGGCGTGAATGCAGTTTTCAGCTTAAGGAGGATGAGATCCTATCTCAGATTGCAGAGAGTGTTAACTGCAAAAACCCTAGGTCGAATTCTTGTAATTCTTTATTAGGGTTTTCTCCTTTCTTAGTGATTAAGAAACCTCCTAATCCAATTACGAGTTATCCCAATCCAAATCTGTATTTGGATAGGGGATAATCTTAATCCTATCTGTAGATTAGATCAGCCCATTCTTGATCTCATCAGGAGTTTAGTCTTAATCCTATCTGCAGATTCGCCCCTTTAAGTGGGTGATCAGATCAGCCCAGTTTGAAATGGGCTTTTA